CTTGTGTAACCCGATACCCCGCCCCTCCCCCCTTTCCCTCACCCCCGCGTTATCTCCTTGTAACCCGATACCCTTGTGTAACCCGATACCCCGCCCCTCCCCCATCCCCCTCACCCCCCCGCAAAATCCAATACCCTCCTCCCTCACCCTCCCTTGGAGCCCCCGGGACAGAAGCGGCATAGGTTAACTACTAAAGTATTTAAGTGTTTAAAGCACGCCACGAACCCATGTGACACCTCGTTTCGCGTGGAAAGTGTATGCGTAAACAATTTCGACGTATATATTAGTTATTTATGCCTTCCAATACTCAAAATAGCTGCTATATTTTCAAAACTTTTTTTGTTAATAACTTTTTAACGAATAACGAGCGACGGCTAAAACCTTCTGAAGGTCACTCGGGGTCATGACCTTGACAACAGATATCAAGGTCATTGAAATCGGTGAGGTCGCCCTTAATCAAGACATTTACCAAGTTATATTTATTTTGAGCTTTAATACTGTATATCTCGAAAACTAAAGCAGTTAGCTCTATAAGACCTATATAATTTTTTGTTCAGCGTAAAAAATACTACCAGAAACCACAGTCAAATCAAGGGGCCCCGGTCATCGTGTTCGTGTCGAAAAAAGAACATCAAAGACACTTTATCCCTACAATAACACTCGATAACGCTCTGTGTTCATTCGTACAGTCGAGCACGGTGCATGATAAAAAAAAGATAATATCGTACAACATATGGAAATTGTTATTGAGAGTACCTTATAGGCTAGTCATATTAGACATCGAACCTTCCAATTAATCTTCCCAGGTTGCAACCATCATAAATCGCTTTGATTTGAAGTGCTATAAGTGGGATTTATTTTGCTTCGCAAAATTAACGCACAATAAAATGTTATTAACAATATTATCAACAAAAAACACGATTTTTTTTTCTCAAATATCTCGAAATTTAAGCAAGATAGGGTAACTAACTATATGTACCTTTTTTGTGGAGCGTAAAATTATCTACAATAATAATCTGAACAACATTTATCATCAAGTCAGTCGTTTAGCTTGCACGCGCCGTCAAAGTCCGAGACTCGGATCCCGAAAACTCTTGATTTCATCGTTTGTTGCGCCGGTGATTTTTTTCTGTTATTTAAAATGGAATTAAAAATCCCCCAAAAATCACAAATCATCTGAGAACTACAAAGAATATTTTTCATGATGCAACAGATTTTTTAGACCCTTTCTTTAATTTGTAGTTATGTAAACAAAAAATTTTGATTTTTTGAAATAGTCTTAGTTTTTCGCTCTTTTCAAGCCTTAGAATTTATTTGAGACAAATTGTATGCATCTTGTTGTGGACGAAATTTGCAACAAAAAAAGACCCTTGTATTTTTTCGTACAACAAACGTTAATTTTTTTATTGACGCGCCAAGTTATTCAATATTGCGCTCAGCTCGGATAACGCTTGTTTTACACTAAAATAATTATTTTTTATTAAAATTTACGTGATTTTTCGCATTATTATTGAACCATGTTGTAAAGCCGTTTTTTGCTATATGGTTCAATAATAATGCAAAAAATCACGTGAATTTTAATGAAAAATAATTATTTCGGTGTAAAACAAACGTTATCCGACCTGTGCGCAATATTGGATAACTTTGCGCGTCAATAAAAAAAATCAGCGTTTGTCGTATGAGAAAAATACAAGGGTCCTTTTTTGTTGCAAATTTTGTCCACAACAAGATGCATATGATAAAATTCGTCTCAAATACATTCTAAGGCCTGAAAACAGCAAAGAACTAAGATTATTTCAAAAAATCAAAATTTTTTGCTTACATAACTACAAACTAAAGAAAAAAGATCTAAAAAATCTTTTGCATTATGAAAAGTATTCTTTGTAGTTCTCAGATGATGTGTGATTTTTTGGGGATTTTTAATTTTATTTTAAATGGCGGAAAAAAATTACCGGCGCAACATCAAAAAAACAATGAAATCGAGTGTTTTCGGGATCCGAGTCTCGGACTTTGACGGCGCGTGCAAGCTAAACGACTGACTTGACGATAATGTTATTCAGATCATTATTGTAGATAATTTTATGCATTACAAGTAAGGTATGTATAGTTAGTTACCCTATCTTGCTTAGTTTTCGAGATATTTGAGAAGAAAAAATTCGAGTTTTTTGTTGATAATATTGTTAATAACTTTTTATTGCGCGTTAATTTTGCAAAGCAAAATAAATCTCACTTATAGCACCTCAAATCAAAGCGATTCATGGTGGTTGCAACCTAGGAAGATTAATTGGAAGGTTAACTCCCTAAATTAGTCAAATATAACTGGTCTATTACAGGTACGTTAATAGTAAATATATCAGTCCTTGATGGTGTTTTTTTTTCCATTTCCACTAATAATCCTACTAATAATCCTTTCCACTAATAATCCTGTAATAGACTATATTTTTTAATCATTCGTGTATTAAGCGTTGTTAGTTGTTAGTAGTTTCCGTATAGTCTGCGATTTTTCTTGTCACTTAAATCCTTACTATACTGCCTCTTTAGTTTATTTTGTATTGAGCAAATATTTATTTTTATATTATATTATTTTATTTGTTTTTAATTTCCTACACAAAAATAAATTCAAATACCATAATTTAATCCGACATTTCTTAACATACATAATGCGAAGCTGTAGACTGCGATCACGCTACTAATATCAATAAAGTGTATTTCGCGGCAGATTTATTCATACAATGATAGAGTTCTGTGTGTGCAGCTCAGCCATAAAAGAGTTAAATACCGTGAAAGAAAGAAATGTAAAGACCTCTGTGAACTAGCACCCTCATCACTAAAAAAACTCAAGTTTACAGCATAATTAAGTGCTAATTTTGTGTTCCTATCCATTTGCAGGAAATTAATATTAAAAGTAGAGATACTAGCTTTATACATTAAACTAGCACCCCCACTCCTGAAAAACACGTATAGAGTACCGTAAATAAATAATCAATATACTAAAATTTTGTACTAATTTTGTAATTTGATGCTCATTGTTTAACTTAATCAAATCCATAAAGAGTGTGGCGGTGCTAGCGTCAGTTAGTTTAAACAACAAGTACAAAATTCCGGATTTGCATATTTTAAAAGCACATAATTTTAGCATTATTTTACCAAAGTCGACCCGGCAATTAATTGCTTTAATGTACTCTTATCGTGAGACTCACTTTTTATGGATTTTATTAAGTTAAAGAACGAGCACCAAATTCCGGATTGGGATATTTTGAAAGCACAAAATTAGCACAAAATTGTGGTATATTGATTTTTGTTGTTTATGGTACTCTATACGTGTTTTTCAGAAGTGAGGGTGCACTAGCTTAATGTGAAGCCAACACCTCCACTTTTACTATTAACTTCCTACGAATGGGTAAGAGCACAAAATTCGGGACTAGAGCAATAAATTAGCACAATATTAGCACTTAATTATACTGTAGACCCGAGTTTTTTTTAGTGGGGATGCTAGGTTCACAGAAGTAACATGGAGGCGTAAGATCAGTAATCTTGGCGGCATATATTATTTTATTATATTTTTCGTCATTTGATGAAGCTCTGTCTGTATGAAAATTGATTAAAAGAGATCTTATTTTAACTTTTTCAGCTTCCGTTAAGGAGGTTGAAGCAGTTTGGTCAACTCTAGATTTTAGTTTGTAAAAAATATATATGATAGTATAGGATCTACCGCATGTGTGAGAATTATTTCAGATTTATTGACCATCCAGAAGCTGAGATATTAATTTCCAAAAATGCGTCATTTTACATGGGGTTATATGGAAAAAGCGTTGACGGCGATGATTGATCCCAATTTTCTTTAATATCTAGTCTATATAAACGCTCAAAAAACGTGCCTACGCGTACAGTAAATTAATGCGAACATTTAGAACGCAAGAAAACACGTATTCACCATCTACAAATATATATACAAATATATAACAAATATATTACAAGTTAAAGCGATCAAAATTAGACTAAAATAGCAGTTGATAGTTCGCGAGTAGGTAGATGTGGCAACGCAACGTCGCCCGCGTTTTGGCTGTACCCGAATCCTGTCGGTATGTGCACGTTTTTGTGGTTCTTTTCCGTGCTATGTCCATGATTTTTTTATTCTCTTTGGAAATAAAACCAAAAAATCATGAATCTAACGGAAGAAAACCAAAAAATTGTGAACATAACATAAAAGAGAACCCTAAAATCGTTGACATTACTACAAAATAGTAGACACAGCACGGAAGAGAACCAAAAACGTGCACATACCGACAGGATTTGGGTATAGCCAAAACGCGGGCACCTAACCTTATCCAGAATGACAGAAAATTCACCGGCATGTTTACGTTTAGCAACTGCCGTTACGTGGCTCAACACAGAGGCGAGTACTGCTACCAACCCCATAAAAGTGAAACGTTGCCAAGTTTCAATCGTATTTAATATAATCGAAGGAAAGTTATTAAAAAATCGATAGCTTATATAATTGTCAAGGGAGCTACCAGTAATAAAATCATTAATTCATTCTATTAACGGCAAAACATATATTCATGCCATTTTTATATTAAAATAATTAGCAATACCACAAGTTTTCAAGTTGGCATTGGCAAAAAAGTGTTTCGTTTTTAGCTAATTAAAATATAAAGATGCATAATATGATACTTTTACTTTACGTTTTATGCAATAGCAGCGTATGGAGAATAAAATGATACTTAATACAGATTTTTTAATGACCTAATAAAAAACTTTTTTCTAAACCGTCAATTGACTCAACTGGATCGCTTCAACCTCCTTAACTCCTTATAAAAAAAAAATAAAATTAACTTGCTATCACCAAATAATTATTTCATAGAAATTGTCCTTATTTCTCTGTTATGTAGAAAAGAATGTTGTCTTATTAGTTATTAGTTATTTATATAATAAGTTATTAGTTAAAGTCATTAGTTATTTATATATAATATTTAAAATTTTTATTTATTTTATTGAAGTTTGTCGCTCATCCGAACGTGCAACAATTATTGGCTGCTATCTGGTACGATGGTCTTCCGGGATTCAGAAGAAAAAGCATGATAGCGCAGTTAATGGAAGTTGCCAAACTTGGCGCAATGTTTCCGGTTTACAGTACTATTTATATGATGGCTCCTACCTCACAAATGGGATCATTTATGAAGAAGCCATTTGTCAAGTTTATATGTCACTCAGCATCGTACGCTTTCTTTCTAAGTAAGACTTGTATTTACTTGTTTTGTGTGTCTTTATATGTTTATGTCTTTTTGATATACGTTTTAAAGTAAATGTTAATTGAGTATTTTCTTTTTAAGTGCTACTCGGTATGGCGTCGCAAAGAATCGAATATCTGTTGATCGAATTGTTTGGTAACGAATGGATGCGAGAGATACTTGCCGGCTGGAAAAAACGAGAACGCGGGTGTATTCCGGGTTTCGTCGAAACAGGCGTAGTCATCTATGTGATAAGTAACGCAGCTAAATAAATCGCGATATTAAGAATAATTAATTATTTTTTATTTTTCTATCTTAAATAATAAATAAAAGAAATACTAATAAAGTATTATTTTATAAAATTATATATATACAATATAAAGATATTATAGGTATATATATATATATTTAATATATATATATATATATATATATATAAGATTTATATTTATATTTATTTATATATCTTTTGTATATTATTTAAAGTGCTCGAGTCACGAGAATATCGTGTATATTACATAAATGTAATGTACATGTTCCCTAACTTAAATATCTGTGCTATTCTAAATAATAAGAAAAAATGTAAACTATAAGAGTTTATACTTTTGAAGAGCACATAATATAATGTGACATTTTTATTTTATAAAAAGAAAAGATTTTAAAAGAACAATTTGATATTTTTAAATAGAACCGTATACCGTTTTCTTATATGATATAGATCCTTTAGTGCTTCTGCATGTAAATGTAAAAGTATATCTACATTTTGCGCTTTTTTCAAGTTTACTAAAAACCTAATAAAGATATTTGGCTAAACATTTTAATGGTGTAATCTTTTAAATCATAAAAATGGACTCGTGAAAATGTCAAACAGTTAAAAACGGCGAATGCGAGTCGAGCGCGGGACGAGGTGCGCAAAGAAGAATTATTTAGACTTGTTAATTTGAACGTTTCGGCTCTTCCTTTGAGCCATCTTCAAACGACGTTGCGTAATAGAGTTTTTTTCTCTCATAGTGGTAATGTCCACCATAATCGTGCGTACCAGCTCGTTTGTTTCCGACATCTCCTCAAGAAGGGAGTCTTCTTCCTCGAGCTCTGCAGGACTAGCGATTACTTTCAATAAATGTTGAAGATGGCTCAAAGGAAGAGCCGAAACGTTCAAATTAACAAGTCTAAATAATTCTTCTTTGCGCACCTCGTCCCGCGCTCGACTCGCATTCGCCGTTTTTAACTGTAATCTTTTAACCTTGTTATAAAAAAAAACATAATTAGAAGCGTTTATCTTTTACCATTTTAAAGTGAATTTCTTAAGTAGGCAAGTTAAGCGTAGACAGATAGCCCCATATGCGGGGCTATCTGTTCACATTCAAGGGGCTATTTGTCCACATAATAAAAAACACATTATTTATATTAATTTTTATACTTATTTATAATATTATTCATTATTAATATATATAATATTAAAAAAACTGCCTAGTCGTTGGAGTCAGAGAAGTAATAGGCACTTTGTGTAGATTTTTTGACAAGTTTCCTGCGTAGAGTTGATTTTTCTTTATATACGGTGGCATCAAACTGATTTTGAGTCTGTTGCAAAATTAATGTGATGAGTTTCTTTTGTCCCCTCAATTCTTTAATCTTTTTTTATTTAGAGCCTTTATTTTATTCTCGGCAGCGTTTGAAATAGAAAATACTCAATAATTTAAGACAAACTCATATATTTAACTTGACGTGTATTTTTAAAATAAAAATTTAGCGATTATTGAATCACAGGATCAAGTATAGCTGCTCGTAGGTCACTTTTTTACAGTAGCGAGTGAGAGCCCGAACATTTATTTCGAAGTCTAACGCTGTTTTTGCGAAAAGATTCTCGTTCGATTTTTATTCTTTTAATCGCTCTAATCGTAAGTATAATTTTATTAGATATATCTACCTTATCTATCTTAAGGAAAGTCTTTCTTTTGTAGTTACGCACTATTATCTATTTATAAAGAAACAATCCGTCATTGAAGTGTGAACACATTGCTCCATCAAAAATAGGACAAATAGCCGACCACGTTTTTCAGTCTTTAACATTTTGCAAATTTTAAAATATGCGGAATTAAGATTTAACGCTTCTCACACCTGATAACTATATATTAATTGATAATATTATTAATTGCTTATCTTAATTTGAGTTAAACTACTGTCGCACAGCAAATTTTTCGACCGTCGAAAAATGTGAATAATTGTTTTCGCTTTTCTTTCAACATATATAAAAGATTCTCTGCGAGAAGCATCGCAAGAAAACGAACAACTTTTAAATATCTTATGTAGAGCATTTTTAACTATTTGTTACAATGATAAAGACGTTTGTCTCTTAAAACATCAGATAGCAGTACTGTGGACACATAGCCCCCGTAGACAGATAGCTCCGGTCTCCTCCTAATTACATATATGTACGTTTACACACATTGATTATTTATTGTTGATATATTTGCTAATCACATCTAGCAAAACTTTATTTATTGCACGCTCATTAATTTAATTTAGAAAATAGTTCGACTTAGAGCAAATGTATTTTATATAATATATATATATATATATATATATATATATATACAAAATTTTCTTTCTTATTTACAATTTTAGATTAATATATATATCAAATTCGCACACACAAAAAAAGTGTGCAAATTAGAAACTATAAGCACATTGCTCTCTTATCATTACAGATTGCTACCATTGCTCCTATTTTATTTCGCTCACAAAACTCTTCTTACGAGGAAGCTTGTATTTTATTTGTTGCATAATTATTAGTATTTATTAATTTGGCTTCCTCATAGAGGAAACTTTATGAGCAAAATAAAATAGGAGCAATGATAGCGATTTATATAATAATAGATAATGAGAAAGCAATATACAAGTTTCTAATTTGCAAACTTTTTTTAATTTAATTTTTTTATAAATTGATAGAGGGTTAGCTTAATAGCACAAGTGGAGTTTTACAATTAACGCAATGTCAAATCGATGTTGACCTTGAGAGTTCATCTTACATGGTCCATATATAAACTTCGCATATGGACCTTTGATTGCGTATATATAAAGCTGGGTTTAATCAATCAAATCTTAAAGAGTTATATATGAAATAGGAGTAGAAAATACTAAAAAATATAATAGAATTATAAATAGCTCGATATCTCAAAATTGGCGGAAGTTAGAGCAACCACGGACATTTCTCAAAAAATTTAAAATTTTATAAAGAAAGAACCCTGCTCTCTTTTACCGATCATCGCCAGATTCAATACCAACCTTTCTTAATGATACTTTATATAAAATTACAGGTATAATTTATACATTTTTTAAGAAGTTGGTAACCTATAATTTACTGATTCTTGCCAAAAACCAACTTTATACCAACTTACTTTTAATAATACGCTAGCCATAAAAAAATTAAGCTCAATATCACAAAATTTGCGGGAATTAGAACAATCATGTAGTAGATTTTTTTGGACAGAAATCGATAACCCCTTTATTATTAGCAATTTTTTAAATTCTATTAATTAATACTTTATTCAGTTCGGCCATTCAGCCTAAAACCGGGACTTGATTTACAGATACTACTTAACATTCACTTCTTCATCCACTTTTTCCCATCTCCTATTCTCTCTCATTTTTCCTAACTCTCTCATGCATTTTACATACGCTATCTTTCCTTCCTCTCCTAAAAAATCCCTCACTCTAATCTTGAGCTCTCCATCTACATGTGTCAGTATATGCTCCATTGTTCCTTCTTCTTTTTCGCAGATCTGGCATTTTCTTCTTCCCGCCTCCGCCCAAAATCTGTTTCTTTCCTCTTCGTTTCCACATCTCCATCTCGCAATCAACTTTTGGCTCCCTTTGTGCCCTTTTTCTCTCAAATATCTCGGTCCTTCCTGCGCCATTATGTCCTTATATCTCTGGTTGTATCTCGTGCTTCCTATCTTACTATCCATCCATTGTCCTAGTCTCTCTCTCTCTCTCTCTTTCTCTCTCTCTCTCTCTCTCTCTCTCTCTCTCTCTCTCTCTCTCTCTCTCTCTCTCTCTCTCTCTCTCTCTCTCTCTCTCTCTCTCTCTCTCTCTCTCTCGCTCTCTCTCTCTCTCTCTCTCTCTCTCTCTCTCTCTCTCTCTCTCTCTCTCTCTCTCTCTCTCTCGCTCTCTCTCTCTCTCTCTCTCTCTCTCTCTCTCTCTCTCTCTCTCTCTCTCTCTCTCTCTCTCTCGCTCTCTCTCTCTCTCTCTCTCTCTCTCTCTCTCTCTCTCTCTCTCTC